GCCTTTAATCCCAGCACTTGGGAGGCAGAGCCAGGTGGATCTCTGTGAGTTCAAGGCCAGCCTGGACTACCAAGTGAGTTCCAGGAAAGGCGCAAAGTTACACAGGGAAACCCTGTCTCGAAAAACCAAAAAAAAAAAACAAAAACAAAAACAAAAAGGCAAAAGGAGCCAGGCATGGTAGTGCCCACCTTTTTTTTTTTTTTTTTTTTTTTTTTTTTTGGTTTTTCGAGACAGAGTTTCTCTGTGTAGCTTTGCGCCTTTCCTGGAACTCGCTTTGGAGACCAGGCTGGCCTCGAACTCACAGAGATCCGCCTGCCTCTGCCTCCCGAGTGCTGGGATTAAAGGCGTGCGCCACCACCGCCCGGCTGGTAGTGCCCACCTTTAATCCCAGCACTCAGAAGGCAGAGGCAGGCAGATCTCTGTGAGGCCATCCTGGTCTACAGAGGGAGATCCAGGACACTCAAAGCTGTTGCACAGTTGCACAGAGAAACTGTCTAGAAAAACAAAACAAACAAAAGGCAAAGGAACATTTGCTCAAAGAGGATACATAGCCGGGCAGTGGTAGTGCAGGCCTTTAATCCCAGCACTCGGGAGGCGGAGCCAGGCGGATCTCTGTGAGTTCGAGGCCAGCCTGGTCTCCAAATTGAGTTCCAGGAAAGGAGCAAAGCCACACAGAGAAACTCTGTCTCGAAAAAAAAAAAAAAGAAGATACATAAATGACCTAGAAGCATTGAAAGATCATCATTATTAAGTATGGAAGTTAAAATAAAAAACCACAATAAGATATCATTTAAACTCACTAACAATAACAAGAAAGATGGGTAATAGCTATAGTAAAAAAGATGGGTCTAGCACTGAAGGAAGTCAGGTCTGTAACTGAAAGTGGGAACCTGGAGGCAAAAATTGAAACAAAGACCACAGGAGAGTACTGCTTACTGGCTGCTCATCGTGGCTATCTCAGCCTGCTTTCTCATACATCACCAGACTGCCCAGGGATGGCACCATCCACAGTGACATCAATCATTAATCAAGACAGTACTCCCATAGACTTACCTACAGGCAATCTTATGGAGGCATTTTTTCAATTAAGACCTCCTCTTCCAGCCTGGCAGTGGTGGTGCACGCCTTTAGTTCTAGCACTCAGGAGGCAGAGCCAGATGGATCTCTGTGAGTTCAAGCCGAGCCTGGTCTACAGAGCGAGATCCAAGACAGGCACCAAAACTACACAGAGAAAGCCTGTCTTAGAAAAAAAAAACACAAAAAAAAAAAACAGATTTCCTCTTCCAACCCTGGGGTGGTGGCAAACATCTTTAATCCCAGCACTTGAGAGGCAGAGTCAGTCAGGTGGACCTCTGAGTTTGAGGCCAGCATGGTCTTCAGAGCAAGTTTCAGGACAGCCAGGGCTATAGAGTGAGTTCCGGGACAGTCAGGGGTACACAGACACCCTGTCTCAAAAAAAAATTTAATAATGTTTTATATATATATGTGTGTGTGTGTGTGTGTTTTATATATATATGCATATATATGTGTGTGTATATATGTATATATACACAATATATGTGTGTTATATATATATACATACATGTGTGTATATGTATATATGTGTATATATATATATATATATATATTCTCTCCCTAGATATGTCTTAAGTTTGTATCAAATTGACAGAAACCAACCAACACGTACAAGTACACTCTCAGATCCTTTTGCAAAGAAAAAGATCTCAAGTGTTAAGAAGTATGAAGTACTAGACAAAGGGACAGAGAAACAGAAAACATACATCAGAACCACAGAAGAGGCCAGGAATTCACATGGTAACCCTGGATTTTAATGCCCACACAAGTTTGAGAAACATTATTCCACAGGTTCAGGCTGGAGACAAGAGGTCTTAAATGGCTGATATGAAGGGTTTCCCTGGACCTTGGGAGGCCCTAATGACTCTATATACAGCTGTATGTCTTTCATCTAAAGATTTCAAACAGTGTTATAGGCATCAATTAATTTTTGCTACACACAAGACTTAAAAATCCATGCTCTTGGCCTGTTTTATTGACAGAAAATGGTAGCTTATGTCTTAAGATCATTTGACCTGGTTTGAATGGCTAAATATGATGTGGGGAGTGGAGGGAGTCCTAAGTATGTGAAGTACTAAGTGAGTGTGTGTTATTGACATAGACCCTAGCCTCAAATGTAGAGGAAAATAGCAAAGCCTTCTACCTGTCCTCCCGGAGTGAGGCCCAGAGAAATGGCAAAGCCTTCCTAGTGGGTCTTGTGGTATATACTGGTAATGTGCAGAAAATGTCCACCATAGCTTTCTCCTCCTAGATATTTTATGGCCTGAAGACTTCTCCGCTACAGAGACTGCTGCTATGGAGATTAGCTAAACCCATCTGCTTGGTCCAGCTGTATTCCATGAACATTGCCTCCTTATCTTCTTGTTTACCTATATGTAGTAACCCTGCCTCCACGTCCAACTCCTGAACTTCTGAGATGCTGCAGTTTCTCCATCAGGGATCCCAGTCCACACAAACCTATCTCTTCTGTGTGTCCTGTGTCTTTGTCTTCTCTTCATGCCCTAGCTGCCCCTAATCAGATTGGTCCATCCCTGGAGCTTAGCAGTGTGCAGTCAACACTGACATCAAATATCTTTTCCCTGAAACAGTGATGTGTGTATACACATGCATGTACAAACACCTTAGTACATGTGTGGTTTTTTGAGACAGGGTTTCACATTATACTCCTTACTGGCCTTGAACTCATACCAGTCTTCAGTTGAGAGTTTGAGACCAGTTTAGGCTATGACAATATGCCCTTGTCTTTTTTTTTTTTTTTTTTTTTTCTCAGCAGGGTTTCTCTGAGTAACGGCCCTGGCGGTCTTGGAACTTGGCTTTGTAGACGAAGCTGGCCTCAAACTCATAGAGATCCCCCTTTCCTCTGCCTTCTCAATGCTGAGACTAAAGCACCACATCCAGCTTGTGACCTTGTCTTTGTGTGTGTGTGTGTGTGTGTGTGTGTGTGGTCTAAGGACATAGCAAAGTGGTAGAGTGTTTGCCTAACATTCAAGTCTCAGTTCTGTAAATCTGCCTATATCCTTGTGATTAGTGCTTAGGTTTTTTTCACTAAGAAACAAAGAAGCAAACAAATACCTTCTCGAGGCTGGAGAAGTGGCTCAGTAGTTCAGTGCCCTTACTTTCGGAGCTTCCAGAGGACCCTAAGTCTATTTCCAGCACCCACATTGTTGGCTCACAACTGCCTGTAACTCCACCTCCAGGGATTCTAACACCCTTTTCTGGCCTCTGCAGGCACCACACACATGTGCCACATAGACACACGCAGACATAAATCAATTTTTTTAAAGATGAAAGAAAAATATTAAATTTACATTTATTTGGGGATAGGTGGGTACATGTGTTCCACAGCAGGTATTTGGAAGTCAGAGGACAAATTTGGGGCATTGGTATTTTCTTTCCACCATATGGGTTGGAGGGATCAACTGCTGGGTGGTAAGCACAATTACCTGCTTAGCTCACAGCAGGGGTTTTGTTTGGGTTTGGGTTTTTAATGTGTAAGGTGCTTTGCCTGCAGGTATGTCTGCACCACTGTGCCTGGTAACCTCCAAGGCCAGAAGAAAAGTGTCACATTCCCTAGATCTGGAGTTACAGATCTTTCCAAGCTGCTAGGTAGGTTCTGGGAATCCTACCCTGTACCTCTGGAAGAGCAACCAGCGGGCTTCCTTTTTTTTTTTTCTTGTTACATTTAGAGTGTGTGTGCATGTATATGCCACAACATGAATGTGGATGTCAAAAAACTTGATCCTCTCATTTTACCATGTAGGTCCAGTGGATTAAATTTGGGTGTGGCAAGCATCTTGCTAGCCATTTTGAGGGTTTTGTTTGGTTGGTTGGTTTGTTTTTGTATTGTTTTGTTGTTTTTATTATTTAAGTTAGTTTTGCTTTTTTGAGACATGATCTATCTGTATAGTCCTGACTGTCCTAGAGCTTGCTATGTAGACCAGGCTGGCCTCGAACTCACAAAAATCCTCCTGCCTCTGCCTCCCAAGTGCTGGGATAAAAGGCTTACACCACCACAGCAGCAAAGATAAATCTCTTCACCACCTGCTAGAGAACATCACCTGCGCCTCTGGGGGAGGCCACACTCATCCCTGTGGCAGTCTCCCATATCTTACTGCAGGAGGATTTGATTCTTGGGAATTATCTACCCAACCATCTTTGTTTCCACAAAAGAAAGCCAAGACTCAGAGACAAGGCCCTTCATCAAGGACTCCTGAGAACTCTGTGACATCACCAGGATGAGAACTAGGTCCTTGATCTCCAGGGTGCACATCAGGGGCTGCTCCTACACACAGCATGCCTTCCCCTGGCCCTGTCTAGGAGACCAGAGGCTGACCTGGTTTCCTAGGCAACTCCTTCACCAATCTGCCCAGCTCTGAGCACCCAGGCTCAGAGGTTGAAATGAGGCTGGGGAGGAGGTTTGGTGGCACCAGCCCTTTTTGTTGTTTGGTTTGGTTTGGTTTGGTTTTTGGTTTTTGAAACACAGTCTTATACAGCCCAAGCTAGTCTTAAACTCTCCATGTAGTTGAACTCAGAATTCTCCTGCCACTGCCTTCTGCGTTCCCGAATTACAGATGTGTACCTATGACCCAGTTTAAAATACCTCATTTTTAACCTAAAGGTGTTCTCTCCGTCGCTACTGTCTTTGAGAAGGGCAGGAGTATCTGGGGATCATGTGGTCTACAAGCAAGAGCTCTACCATTGAGCCAGGCCCCCCCTTCCTTGTTACTAGTTGCTCTTCTTTGTTTTTCCTGTTTTGAGACAGTCTTGTTATGTAGCCAAGGCTGACCACGAACCTACCCTTTGGCCTAGGCTTACCTCAAACTTGAAATCCTCCTACTTCAACAGCTCCAGTGCTAGGATTTCAGGTGTACATTACCACAGCTGGCTCATTCTTCTTTTTTTTTTTTTTTCAATTATCCACAAAATATTTTTAAGGATTTATTTATTTTTATTTTATGTGTATCTTGCCGGCATGTATTTAAGGGCACTGGGTTTCCTGGAACTGGAGTTAGGGATGGTTATAGGCTGCCATATGGATGCTGGTCATCATACTCAGGTCCTCTGGAGGAGCTGCAAGTGCTCTTAATCGCTGAGCCTTCTCTCCAGTCCCTAAAAAAATAATATATTCTTTAAATTCTTAAGTTTATATACAAATGATGGGTTTTGTTGTGGTGGTGGTGGTGGTTTTTTTTTTTTTTTTTTTTTTTTTTTTGGTTTTTCGAGACAGGATTTCTCTGTGTAGCTATGGAGCCTGTCCTGGAACTCACTCTGTAGACCAGGCTGGCCTTGAACTCACAGAGATCCACCTGCCCCTGCCTCCTGAATGCTGGGATTAAAGGCGAGCACCACCACCGCCCAGCAAATGATAGGCTTTATTATGGCATTTTCATACTCCTTATTATTCTTTAATTCCACTCCTAGGTATTTACACTATGAAAATTCTCGTACTTGCAGAAGATATTTGTATACTCTTTCTTGCCTTTTTCAACTTATAAAATTATTCGTTATATACAGATATGGTGGTTTGAACGTGAATAGCCCATGGGCTCCTATGTTTGAATAATTGGTCCCCAGTTGGTGGAGCTGTTTGGGAAGGATTAGGAGATGTGGCCTTGTTGGAGGAGGGGTGTCACTGGAGGTGGGCCTTGAGGTTTCAAGACACTGGACCACTTCTGAAACCCGCCCCCTTGTAGTTGTGCCATGCCTGCCTGCCGACATACTCCCCACTGTGACAGTTATGAACTCTAACTCTCTGAAACTGGAAGCCCCAAATTAGATTTTTCTTTTACAAGTTGCTCTGGTCATGGTATTTTATCATAGCAATAAAAAAGCGACTAAGATAATAGATAATAAAAAGAATGAGATAGATATATATGTAGAGAAACTATCCAATGAATATTAAGTAGCAGGTATGTTATGAAACCCCATAGTATGATTCAATTTAATAAACAAAATTTTCAGCCAGACGGTGGTGGTGCATGCCTTTAATCCCAGCACTGGGAGGCAGAAGCAATCGGATCTCTGAGTTTCAGGCCACCCTGGTCTACAGAGTGAGTTCCAGGACAGCCAAGGCTACACAGAGAAACCCTATCTCGAAAAACCAAAACCAAAAACAACAAAATTAACGTATTGTTCATTGAAATAAATCTTTTTGTTTGGCTGGTTTTTGGGGTTTTTTTGTTGTTGTTGTTGTTGTTGTTTTCAAGACAGGATTTCTCTGTGTAACAGATTTGGATGCCTGGAACTCACTCTGTAGGCCAGGCTGGCCTCAAACTCACAGAGATCCACCTGCCTCTGCCTCCAGAGTGCTGGGATCAAAGGCTTGTGCCACCACTGTCCGGCTCATTGAAATAAATCTTAACATCGAACACGAAAATATGGGCAATGGTTATTTCCAGTAAATTTCAATTTCAAAATTATAGAAATTGGAAAAATTCAATTTCTGTAATGTTTCAGTACTTTCTAGTAACCTTATTTACTTTTGTAAGCAATAAAGCTTATTTTATGTGCATAAAAAAAGTATCAGGTAGAGAATACCTATTCTGGAAAAAAGGACCATTTCTTTTTATAGACAGGGTCTTTCTACATTGGCTGTTCTAGAACTTGCCTTGTAGACCAGGCTGGCCTTGAACTCACAGCAATCCACTTACCCCTGCTTCCCAAGTGCTGGGATCAAAGGCATGTGCCTGTCTCTCCACCCCACCCCACCCCACTCCACCTTTTTTTTTTTTGAGACAAAGTCTCACACTATGTACTGAACTGGCCTCAAATCTGTGGCAGTCTTCCTGCCTCTGTCTACCAAGTGCTGGTATTCCAGATGTGAACCACACATCTGTCATTTTTTCCCCCTTTTATAAGTAGAAAAGGTGATCCCTACAAGCTATTGTGAGTACTTAAAAATAGAAGGACTTCTTAGCTGGGCAGTGGTGGTGTACACCTTTATTCCCAGCATTAGGGAGAGAGAGGCAAACGGATCTCTGAGTTCCAGGCCAGCCTGGTCTACAGAGTAGTACGGCCAGGATCACCCAGAGAAACCCTGTCTCAAATAAATAAATAAATAAATAAATAAATAAATGAATGAATGAATGAATGAATGAATGAATGAATGAATGAATGAATGAATAAATAAATAAATAAATAAATAAATAAATAAATAAATAAATAAATAAATAAATAAATAAATAAATAAATAAAAGGGCTTGTGTTCAGGTCCCTTTACTATGTAAAGACTGAGTGACTGGCACCTGCTTTGGTTCCTCTGGCTTGTTTGTCTTTCCTAAGCAGCAATAAACCAGCAGCTCCTGCTACTTCCCACCCCCAGACCCCAACTCCAAAGGTAGCTTAGTCTTTGCCAGCTGCCCTTCAATCCTGCGTCACTATTTCAGATCCCCAGCCAACAACACCTGGCAGTGACGCCAAAGGCCACCAATGCTGACTTCCTGAATAAAGCACCTGTGAACTGAGAGAGGACACAGTGACCAAGGCAGTGCACAGGGACACACAGCGGGACAGGGACAGGGACACGGAGAGCCTGTGACTTGTCCTCTTGCTCTATAGCCCGTCCCACACATGTTCCCAAACACGCAGAACCAGACATGGTGGCCTACACTTGTAATCTCAACACTCAGGATGTAGCAGAAGGGTCACCAGTTAGAGGGCAGCCTAGGTTATGTAGCAATACCCTCTAGATTAAAAAGAAAGAAAAAAGCCGGGCGGTGGTGGCGCACGCCTTTAATCCCAGCACTCAGGAGGCAGAGGCAGGTGGATCTCTGTGAGTTCAAGGCCAGCCTGGTCTACAAATCGAGTTCCAGGAAAGGCGTAAAGCTATACAGAGAAACCCTGTCTCAAAAAACCAAAAAAAAAAAGTCCATTTCAAGATTTCAAGTGATGGAGGTTCTTAGACAGGTAGAGGTATGGAGAGATGTCCTGTTATCCACAAGGAAAGTTCAGTTTCTCAGCTCATGCACACGGTGTGGCTCCTGCATAGAATATTCCCCTCTATCTTACCTGGCTCACTTCTCTTCTACTACTAAACCCTTTCTTCTTCCTACCCCACCTCCATGCAAGGGTCCTCTGTTCTCATGGCTTGTGCTTCTTTCCTTATCCAGCACTCTCCCACTAAAAGTCGCCCATGCTTCTGTCTCCCCCACTCCGGTTTAAGCTTCCTGAGATCGGGGCTGTGATTGTTCTGTCTATTCTATGTTGATATAAATCACAAGTGCTACATGGGTGAATAAAATGAAAGGCTTGTCTGGAGGGAGCATGGTTCCTACCAACCCTCGGGGAGGGGACTCCTGGGCAGAAGAAGCGAGCATAGGCTTTATCCCTCCCGCCCCCCTCCCCAGTCTTCCCTCCTGGGCCACTCACCCCTTCCTCTCCTCTGCACCTTCAACTCCAGGGATCTGTTTAATAAGCTTGAACTCCCTCTACCGGCAAAAATTCAGAACTGCCCCTGGGAATTCATTCTTCCCTCTGGGAAATTCCTTCTACTTCCTCCACAATTCCAGAGTTCAGGAGGGACCGGAATATGGGTAGAAAACCAGGATATCCATCCAGCAAACAGGAGGTTCCAAGGTCTGATCCCACACCTTTCCTCCCTCAACCCCAGGAGCACTTTGCTCCAACCCTCACCTTGTGTCTGTTTCCTGGTGTCTCCACACTCTTACTACAGCTAATTCACAGAGATGTTGATTTCTGGAGCCTTTGGCTGATACATCAGTTCTGACTGTGGAAGAAATATCCAAGGACAGTTTGGGAACAGACAAAAATTTGAAAAAGAAAGAAGCATAAATAAAGGGACTCAGGAACTAGATAGGAATTTACATTCAAAAGAAAACAAAGATCAGGGTAGAGAAGCTAGCTCACAGAGCTGTGTGATAGCTCGCTCTGTCTCCATGGGCTCATAAACCAGAACTCTGCCTGTGGGGGAAGAACTCCCTAAGCCCTCCATTCTGCCTATAGTAATACAGAGACAAAAGGAGTGACTGTGTTGATCAGGTCTTCAGGTTGAATGGAGATCTCAGACTTTAGGGACAGTTCTGGACAACAGCCTCTCAATCCCTCCCCACTAGCCTGGAGCTTACATCCTCACTGTCATTTCTACTGAACAAGTGCTCTGGCTCCAGTCCGTTCTCAGGGATGTTCTTCTCCTCCTCTGGCATGAGCTCATCCAGCCAGAGGAGTTCCTGTGGTGAAAAGACCCACTCCAGTGCTTTTCGGACTCCCACCAGGCCCAGTAACTGCAGAGACAGAAACAAGCCCCAGGCCGTCAGCAGCAGCAGCTGGGACTAGCAGTGCTAGGCCTCCTCTTGTTTCACTGAGTGCTGACACATTCTGTGAAGTAGACCCTTTTTTGTTTGTTTGATATTGCTTTGTTTTTGGGTAAGGTTTTATGTAGCTCAGGCTGGCCTTGAATTTGCCATGTAGCTAAGGATGACCTTGAGCTCCTGATCCTCAACCTCTCAAGTGTTAGTGTTGGGATTACAAGTGTGCAACATCATGCCTAGTTTCTTTGTTTGTTGGTTGGTTGGTTGGTTGGTTGGTTTTGAGACATGTTCTCACTGTGTAGCTCAGTGTATAGCTCTGACTGGCCAGGAACTCGCTATGTAGACTAGGCTGGCCTTGAACTTGTGGTGATCCCCCTGCCTCTGCCTCCTGAGTGCTGAAATTACAGGTGTTTACCACCACATCCACTTTTGTTTTGTTTTGATTTTTAAGATTGGATCTCACCTTGAGGTCCAAGCTGGCCTCAAACACAGTGTGATCCTTCTGCCTCAGCCTCCCAAGCACTGGGGTTACAAGCAAAAACCATTGTACCCAGTTTGTAGTTTAATCACATTGTACATAAAAGGCAACTGAAGCCCTGAAAGATTAGTAACTTCCCTGAGGTCACACACCTGGCATGTGGAACTAGATTGGTCCTATTGCAAAGCCAATGATTCTTAACTTTCTCTTCTGTTAAGCCTCACTGAGTAAGAAAAGTGTCAGCATTGTCCTTCCAGGAGCTCAGTTATTTGAGGGGTTTGTGGACAAACCCAAATTAGTTAGGAAACTTGGCGAATCGAGTATCCTGAGACTAATTCATCTGTAAGTATCCCCCAGCCATCTTTCTTGGTCTTAGGATTTCCAACCAGAAAGAGCCAGGGAAAGTAAGAGAGAGGAGTGTTCTTCAGCCACCATCCCAAGCTCAGAGTCTCCCAGAACTGCTCAACACCCCCTCTTCCAAGTTACCATAAGTGGGAAGATAATGGCTGCAGGGGTAGACTTGATTATCCAAAGCAGACCCAAGCAGGCAAGCTGGATGGCTGTGAACAGGTGGACTCTGCTTAGAGGCACATGCCGCAAGAGCAGCATGTCTGGCTGATGTTTTCTTGGCATCAACAATAGCTGCACTCTTTTCATGAACTGGGAGAATGGGAGGAAAGAAAGCGGGATGATGAGGTCATTTGGAGGATGTCACTGTTAGCTACAAGCACTGCAAGGGGAAGGGCAGAGAGCTCCCTTGGCCTCCCCATCTAGAGCATGGCAGCAGAGTTCCCATGTCCAGGAGAAGCAGGATAATGGATCTGAGGGAGATCGGCAAATGTGGGGAGGAGGAGTGGGGTTGCTAGGTGATTGTAATGAGCTCACCTGGATGCTGCTGAGTGCTGCTACTCCCATGTACAGGAAGATGCCGTAGAGCACAGGCATTGGGATGAACTAGTAGTAGAGAGATAGCAAAGGAACTTACCTTCCAGCCTCCCATGTGCCCCACTTGGACCTCCAAACTGGAGCCTGCCAGGCCTTTCTTTTCCTTTCACATCTCGTATGCCTGATTTCATTGAGTCTTTTCATGCCAATCACACGAGGTAGATTATTATTATTATTGTCTGCATTTTACAGATGAGGAATAGAGAGACAGTAACTTGCCCATACCTCTCCAATCTTTTTATTTCATCACAGTATTGCTGACCTAGAACTCTACATCCTCCTGCCCTAACCTCCTGAGTGCTGGGATTACATTGTGCCACCGTACGCAGCTTCCTTTTGTCTTATCTTCACATTGCCCTCTGCTCTACATGCTCCCATATACTGTCCACTTTCCATTCATATGCTGGCATTTGTTCCTTACCCTTTCAAAGCCTTTTCCTTTGCTATTCTTTCCTCCTAAAATGTCCCTCATGCCTGGGCATGGTGACACACACTTGTGATCCAGCACTTGGGAGGCAGAGGCAGGAAGATGTATGTAAATTCAAAGCCACCTTGTTCAATGTAGCAAGTTCCAGGATAGCCAGGGCTACATAGTGAAACCCTGTCTCAACCAACCAACCAACCAACCAATCAATCAATCAATCAGATACTCCTCTCTTGGACTTTATATCCACTCATGCTTCATCTCATTTCATTCTGGAAAGGTCTTCTCTGACTGCTCAATCTGAAGTAGCCCTGGCACTGTTTGTAAAATTTAAAAATATTTGTTTACTACTGTTATTATATGTGTTCCACAGCTTGCGTATGGAGGTCAACGATCAACTTGTGGGGGTGGGTTTCTCCTCCCACCATGGGTTCTAGGGACTGCACTCAGGTCAGTCATCAGGCTTGCATGCCAAAGACGTTGCCCACTGAACCATCTTGCCAGGCCAGCCCTAGCACTCTTAATCACCTTATCTGCTTTTGTTTTTTTCACCGAAGTTATCATCTGAAGTTATCCTATTGCTTTAACTTTTAAAAATCTGTCCTCTATCTCCAGACTCCAAGGAGGACAGAGACGTATGTTATCACCACTGTATACCTCCAGTTCCTGGCACAGTGGCTGGTGTATCATTTATGAGAGTCACCCTACTTAGCAAGTGGTTGATCCAGTCCACCTGGCTCTCCTCTGCGTCACTCTCACCCAGCCTCCATGACCTTGGCCCCGCCTAACCTCCTGCTCTTTCCTCCTGCCAATGACTCTTGTCTGACATTTCCACACCCTCCTTGACTGCTTTGCTGCTTGGCTTGTTGACCCTTTCTTCTATAGCCAGGCTGTGTGTGTGTGTGTGTGTGTGTGTGTGTGTGTGTGTGTGTGTGTGTGTGTGTGTGTGAAGTTTCTGGTAAAGTTTGGTTTCATATTCCTTTCCAGGACTTCTCCTCTCCTCTCTTCGGTACCAAGCACAGTGGGATACCCAGCAGAAGTTTCATAAGCCTTGAGAAAGAGTAAATGGTTTTTTGCTTTGAAGTTTTTCTGGGACGTGAATACACACATAGTCTTAAGCTTGTTGGGAGACTGGAACAAGGACAGTGCTAGAACCCTAGGGATGATGGCATCCCTGTATCCTACTCTACCGAACAGAAATCCTACTGGCCAAGAAATTAGGTACAGTTTTTAAATGTTTATTTTTTAGATAAGGTCTCATGTAGACCAAGATGGTCCCAAACCTACTATATAACTGAGGCTAGCCTTGAACTTGAACTCCTGATCCTCCACCTTCTAAGTGCTTGAATTACGAGTATGCGTACACACACACACACACACACACAAGCATGGAGATTAGAGAATAAGTTGTTAGAATCAGTCCTTTCCTTCCATCTTGTAGACCCAGGCCCAATATCAAATTCAGGCTTGTTAGCAAATACCTTTATTCACTGAGCCATCACACACACACACACACACACACACACACACACACACACACACACACACCACTTTTTTGTTTCTTCTGAGACAGGGTCTCACAGTATAGCCTAAGCTGGCCTGCAACTTATTATGTACGCAGGCTGGCCTCAAAGTTGAAGCAAGCCTCCTGCCTCAACCTCCTGGCTCTGTGATTACAGGTAAAATCCACCATGCTCTGGAAATCTGGGTTTTTTTAATCTGAGAAATTGGCAGGCACTTACAAATTACTTTACGTCTTTAACCATCAGGTTTCTCGTTTGTAGGGTATATGTGTCTCTCAGGATTAAGTTAGATGAGGATTACTGAAACAGTGTGAGAAGAAAATGCAGTTCTTGGAACACTAGTAAGAATTCAACCAGAGTCCATTCTATTGCTCTTGCTGCACTGGCCCTGACCCTGGCCAAACGTGTACCTTGAGCACAGGTGCCAGGAAGATGGAGACGCCTGTAAGGATGAACACCACCAAACCGGTCAGCCGCTGCTCCCTGTGGGGAGGAGGAGGAATTATCTGGGTCTAAGTGTGCTCCTGGAGCACCCAGGCTAGACCCCTTAACCAGGCCTAGTACAGACCTGGCATCCAGAGAGGAGAAGAGGGATTCCCTTGATAGGTTACCTGGCAGAGGCTGCTTGCCTGCTGTGAAGAACTGAAAGGAAAGGCAAAGCACTCCAGCATGGGGCCCAGGCCCCTCATCAGTTCAGGTTCATTGTTGTTCTGTTTTGTTTGGGTTTTTAAAAATGTTTTATTACATTTTACTGATTTATACTGTGTATGTGCATGCATGTATGTAAGTATGTGCCTGCCTTGGTGTGCATGTGATGGCCAGAGGACAACTTGCAGGAGTCAGTTCTTTCATTCTATCACCCAGGTCCCAGGAAGTCATGAGATGTGGCCAGAAGTGCCTTTACCCACTGAACCACCTCACCAGCCCGCTGGGTTTGGTTTGTTTGTTTGTTTTAGTGGTTCTAGGAATCGAACCTAGGGCCTCATATGAACTAGGTCAGCACTACCACTGAATTCCATCCCCAATCCCATAAGTTGTTTTTTATTTTGGTGGGAAATTAGCAATTTCCACTGCCATAAAGACTTAATATTTCATAATTTACAAAGTTAGTCAATGTCAAGTATTTTAGGTAGATTCTGTTTCTAACAGCTACAAAATTGTTTTTGTCATGGATTCCTTTGTAACGTCCATGGTATGTTTCTACATTGAGTGGGGACTGTTAGGTGGCATCTCACCCTCCACTTTATCCCTGGCTACCTTCACCCTTACATTTATAATGCTCTTCTTTTTTGGGGGAGGGGAGGGGGTTGTTGTTTGGTTGGTTGTTTTGGTTGTTTGTTTGGTTTGGTTTTTTGAGACAGGATTTCTCTGTGTAGTTCTGGCTGCCCTGGAACTTGCTCTGTAGATCAGGCTGGCCTTGAGCTCAGAGAGATCCGCTTGGCTCTGCCTCTCAAGCACTGGGATTAAAGATGTGCACCACCACCTGTATAACACTCTTCTTGAGGCCCCTCACCCATCTCAAAGTGCGTCTACTTTCCCCATGGCAGTTCTTAAAGGGTATAAGCATAGAATTCAAGCTGCCCGAATAACTCACACATCCCATAACTCTTTGGCCACCCCTTTCTCATTCCAGCCTACTGATTATATGCTTTACCTGATGCCCAGGAAGTGGGGGGCTTCGCCAGGGACACAGGCTTTGCTTTCTCTCCGAAGACTATCCATGTGGGCCAGGGAGATGACAGTGGCTGAGACATACCAGGGCAGCCCAAGTGCCGATGTGAGCAGCATCAAAACAGCTACACAGAAGAGGTCCAGGTGGAAGCCAGCTCCCTTCTGCAGGAAACGGGGGTTGTTTTGAAGCTAGAAGTGCCATCTGGAGCCCACTCTGGAGTTTCTGTCTCTTATCTCAGCCCTTACCTAGCAGCCTTACCTGCAGTCTATATTCTGCACGGTTGAGGATGACTGCTGTGATCTGCTGGTCCATGAAGATAAGGATAGACAGCAGCAGAGCAGGCAAGGCAGCTGCCACACTCAGCCACCAGGGGTTAGCTCCAAAAGGAGACACCAGCCAGCCACGCCCAGGGAGTGTAGGCTAAGGGGACATTCCATGGACAGGTTGGAAAGTGTCTCCCAAGAACACCTCACCTGCACGCCCCTACCTCCCACCTTGGCACTCTCCCACAATCTACCTCTTGCTTCTAAGACCTTAGATTCTAGATGGTAGCACTGTCACACACACACACACACACACACACACACACACACACACACACCTCTCCTTCATGTATCCCAGTGCCTTAAAAGGGCACAGAAAGAAGGGACTAGTCTGGATGGAGCCAAGGGCTCTGGGCTTTGGTTTCCAGGCTCTCTCTCTCTCTCTCTCACTCTCTCTCTCTCTCTCTCTCTGGAAGAAGAGTTGGTGAATATAACCTGCACACACTGCTTTGTTCTTATTCACAGCCTTCCTCCTTAGGCTCACACCCCACCCCACCATCCAGAATGGGGCAGCTCAGGTTCAGACCTGCCTCGGTCTGGGGCAGAGGTGGGGCAGGGTTAGGTGTGTCTGCGTCTGCTCTGATTATAAGCGTCTGTGGTGGGGAGGGGGCCCAGGTGATTGGCTGAGGCTCTGAGCCCTAAAACCACCCCCATTAGAGCCCCCTTGCTGTCCTGCCCTGGTGGGGTCTGGGGGGAAAGGTTTCCTATTGTCCAGGCAAAGTCTGGTACTATATACTGTTATGCCCTACAGAAGGAGCTCCAGCTCTACTGAATCAGAGTTGGCAGTGAGGAGTGTAAAGAAGAGTAGAGTGTATGGAAGTGGGTAGGGCCATGCCAGTGGCAGGGAGAAGCCATAACAGCAGCATTTACTGAGTTTTTGATATGTGCAAGCACTGTAGTAACTATTTAGACTATGATCCGTAAACCCGAAAACAACCTATGAGAGACGGCTATCAATCATCCCATTTTTATAGACTAAAATTCTCAGGGGAGGGATGGTGGTGCATGCCTGTAATCACAGCACATGGAGGGTTAAAGCAGGAAGATCAAGAGTTCAAGGCCAGCCTTGGCTACATAGGGAGTTTGAGGTCAATTTGAACTACAGGAGACTCTGTCTCCAAAAAACATAGATGCCTAGAGCCAGCTAGGAAGAGGCGGAATTGGAATTCAAACCCAAGCCTGCTGCCCAGAGCCCATCCTCCAACACCTACCCTATAATAATAGCTACTGTGTACAGCATTCTTCATTCCTTATGTGTCTGTTGAGCTACCTCATTTTATCACTCAACAACTCTGTGAGGCCATTGTTTTTACCCTCTCTATCATGAGTGAAGGGAAAGGCTAGGAGGAAGAGAAGTACGGAATTTATGCATCTTATTACTCCAGAGTTGCTGGCCCCACTGTCCCCATCCTCCTCCCTCATTCTGTCCAGCTCTCTCACCTTGAATTCTGTGGGCACCAAGAGCTTCGGTGTGGCTAGGCCAAGAAAGGCGTCAAGGCCACAGCCCAGCAGGATGGCCAGGACTGAGGAAAAGTCGCTCAACACCTTGCGCACCTGGCCATATAGTGGACGGTTTAGTCTGGGGCTGCCATTTCTTTTTTAACCTTTCCCATTTGCAGACAGGACCCAGGGCTAAAACCAGACTTTTTACACAGAAAGAAAAATGGAACTTACAACTGAGGGGAAGAGGCGGCTGTTCTTTACATGCTTGAGGGCCATGGCACAAAGGAAGGAAGTAAAGAAGAGGAGAAGGGAGAAGAAGGCAATGTCTGGCACCGTGTAACAGCTGGGACCGTGCGGGTAGCCTCCCTGCCGGATGCACTCAGGTGGAGACAGCAAGGATGCATTGACCAGCCCTAGGTGCTGAATAGAGGAGGGGTAAGGTATTGGACAGTGGGCAGCAGAGGACCCACCTCAAAGGAAGGGAACCCACAGAGACATCAGGGACCCAGGATTGGCCATAGCCTAAATTGAAGCAATCAGTGAAGCTTTCTTTCCTCTCTGGGTGGGAAGAGCCGAAGACCTCTAACTCTTTTCTTTCTCAGACCTTTCTTGGTGCAGGCTCTCACCACGCTTAAGACATCTGTGTCTTTGTGCTTTGTACTTGTCCACTCAGATGCATTTCCTGGGAAGCAGAAAATTCTGGCATAAGCCCTCCTTCCTTGAGAAACTTTTCTCCACAGGATTCGACTTTGTTGTTCCACCTGAACTAGAAAGGTCCTGATTCTGATCATCCCGCTGATCAAGTGTGTTCTCAAGTTGCTACTGTGTACACTCATGCCCTCGGATTCCCTGCCCTCTGTGTCTCTGGCGCTGAGCACAAAACTGAGCCACAACACTTGCTCATCAAACATTGACCAAATGCATGCACTCCCAGATCTGTGTGTACCAGAGCAAGAAGTGGTCTCATTCAGGACTAGTAGAATCAGACACAGATTAGAAAAGATACGTTTTTAGCTAGGCAGTTGATGGCTCGCGCTTATACTCTGAGCAGTTGGAGATAGGGGTAGGGGGATCAGGAGTTCAAGGTCATCACTGATTACATAGTGAGCTGGAGACCATACTAGGCTACATGAGACCCTGTCTCCCCCTGGGCCGCCCCCTCTCCACCAAGGACACCTTCCCCCATTTCTGCTGCTACCTTCCACGTGGAGGGATCGATGTAAGAGTAACACTCCAAACCGCTCCACCTGGTTATCCGCTTTCACTCAGGAGCTGTGATTTACTGGATTGGGGACTTTAGGAAGTGGAGGCAGGCTGCCTGGCCCTGCCCTTGCCTCTCTTCTCTCGAGAGTAAGCCGCCTGGTTGGCGTACTTAGCTCTGCTCCTCTGGTGCAACACAGTCCCCCATCGGGTAAGTCTGATTTTGGCTCCACTCTTAGGAGCCCATTAGCCCATGTGTCGATCCCATACTCTCCTATCAGGACTGTCAGAAATAAACACAATCCCAGGATTTCCGCAGATTTATTTTGTACCTGATCCTGAACCCAAAAGGAGAGTTCTGGCTATTGGATAAGTGCTCAGCATTTTCCTGAACTTAGCCCAGTTCCCACCTCTTTCCTCAGCTGGCCAAGGTATCAGTTTCCCTCACCTACCTCCTGGGCCTGGGTGTTGACAGAGGCAGCCATAGGCAGGAGATCCTGGCCTTTGGATTGGATAGGCATGAATCAAGTTCAGCATTTTCCCCACGGCATCATAAATGAAGATGAGGCTGATGAGAGCACAGAATCCTTCCTCTGTGAATCGGGTGAAGTAGCGCACCAGCAAGCTGGCCTCTGTAGCCACCAGCACCAGGCAAAATGTGGCCACCCAGATGCCTACCCACAGGCGGAAGGGCAGGTAGTCCAGGCTGTGATCTCTGTAGGAGTGAGGACAGTCAGGGCTGGCTGCTCCCTACCTAACCCAGGGCAGGTGCCCCTCAAGCCAGAGAAAGCCCCCACCCTCTCCTCTTCACCCACCCACGGGCTGGAGAGGTGAGAGAGGTCTCCTACCTGCTAAAAGAAAAGAGCAGGCGCTCAAACACCAGCACTGGCCCTGTGCTGCTAAGGATGGTGAGGGGCTGGCCTGCCATCAGGCAGAAGGCAGCTCCAGCCACCGCTGTGCCCAGGAAACTCTCCAGCACTCCCTGGAAGTGGACATAGCTCTTCATAGGACCCTGGCCTCCCAACACAGGAGCCCTAGCTCCTGTGGAGTCTCAGCCCCACTCACAGTCCCAAGAGGTCAGACAGGTGGGACACCAAAGTTTATGCCAATCCCATCATACAAACCCACGCACCTGGGCACCTTCAGTGGCATCTCCCAGCAGACCCCCAAAAGTGATGGCGTTTGTGACTGTGGCCAGGTAAATGTAGAGCACAGCTGAGAAACACTGGGGGTGTAGGGCGTCCAAGAAATCGCTGGGGTACCAGCCTGCCTTCCGGCGCACATCCTGGACAAGACCCCCGAACAGCCTCCCACCCGTGGGTCATCAGCAATCCAGGTTTCCATACCCCACGCCTGCATCCTGCTTTTCTCTGTATCCAGGGGAGCCCCTCCCACATTGCCCGCACATTTTGATGCCCCTGTGACTCTTCCATAAGATCCCAACCCTTGTTCCCATCCCGCTCCCCTCACCTGCCGGTCCTTTGCAATTCTGGGCTGGGTGTGTGCTGTCCATGGCGGTGCCTGTCCTCTGCCTGGGACACACTCCGTGGGGAGAGGCCAGTGACTTCCTGCAGTTCCGAGTGGAGTCTGAGCAGAAAGGGAACCCCAGATGGGCTGACATCTTCAGCCAACCTGCCATTTGACTCCAGAGTAGGTGACACCCCGCCCCCTGGAGGCTACTGTGGTGGCTGCTAAGGACGCTCTCAAACTGTCGGGGAGAAGTTAGATACAGGTCACAGTCCCGCTGTGTGAATGCCAAACTTAGCCAGGGAGCACGGTAGACCCATAACCAAAGGGAAGATCTGTGTGGAATTGTGGTCCCAGGTACCTTTTGAGCTGAGAGGGTAGGCATTTGGGCGGGGGAATCCGGGCTGTCCGGTCCCACCGACCTGGGGGTAGAGTTGTCACCTCCTGTAGGAAGGCATCCAGGGCTGCCAGAAGGTCATGGAGATCACTTGCCCGACGAACTGACCACTGGAATTGCTGCATTTAAGGTCACAGAGTGGACAGTAAATGCACTATTTGGACAAATGTTTTCACTTGTATTTTCTCAAAACCACACTCACACAAACTACAAGCAGTCAAATTTATAATTTACACACAAATGCATACGTTTGTTCATTCATTCATTCATTCATTCATGCTGTGCCTATTGCAATTTGGCTACATTGGTAGCTATGGAAATGTCAGCCCCCAGGTTACAAACACAAAGCCACACTCTGCCTCACTGTTATTCCTGATCAGAGTCTATATGCATGCTCCATACACACTCGCAAATATGCACACAGAGGAACTGAGGAACTGCTCTACTCACCGGGTCACTGAGGAGGACAGCTGCTGCCCGACCCATCTCACGGTAGCTCCCTTCCAGGGTGGGAGGACCCAAAAGGAGGCAGAAAAACCTGAAGAAGGAATGGGGCCCCCAAGCTGCTTTCTCATCGGGCAGCACTGCCTGCTAAGAGCAGCCTCTGACACTTAGCTCTGACCTCCCTACTGCTCACGTACACACCAGCTCTGCAGACTCACCCCTGGGTAGCACTTCCTAGACACTCTGAGGGAACTGGATCCAAAGACCCCACCCTCCTCAGTAAAGGCCCTTCTGTGCCCAAGAGCCCTGACTCTCAGTCAGTCACCTCACCTGCTCGGCAAGATCACCTCTGTAAGAGGCTCCAGCACCACTGGAGTCCGCAGTCTTACGAAGGCCCCTAGTGGCTGAGCCAGGAAACCCAGCTCTCCTGCCAACACTGCTGCTGCCTCAGCTCCCGGAGGCAGCTTCTGTCTCAAGGGGTTCTGGTGCTGGGTGGCAGAGTATGAGAGGTTATTTAGAGAGGGAGATGTTGGCAGAAACTCAGCTGAGGAGCCTGGTGGAAGGTGGGTCTCTCAATTCCCGATCTTCCTCCCAGCCTTGCCCAAGGAAGGGCCACAAACCTTCAGGGGGGGGTCCTCATCATGAGAAGCATTTCTGAAAGCACTAGACCCTGCAAAACAGGAATACATAGTAGTTAAGAGCACAAGCTTTAGGGGAAGGCCTACTGGGGGATAGCTGTGATAGACGTCTCCATGGTAACTGAAGTTTAAATGAGCAGATACTGCATGTAAAGCTCCTGGCACAGGACCTGCCAAGCACAGCCCTTTGGAGAGCCCTGGCTGTTATGGCCCCGGTGCCCACTCTTCTGCCTTCACCATTACCACCTCTTGCCCATGAATCTTGTTTGGCCTGAGGACTGAGCCAAGTCGAGACCACTCCTGGCTCAGGAAAACAGAAGTCTCGATCCTAGGCCCAAGGAGGCATCTCTCACCTCTGCAGGGCCTGATGCCTGGGGTCTGGATGTGGTGCTGGGGTCTCTGCAGCAGCAAGGCTTGGAGCTGTCCTCTCAGTTCTGGGCTCAGGGACTCCCCACTGATTACCTGCTCTGCAGAACAGATGTGAAGTTCAACCCCCCCTGAGAGCTCTCTGTCCTCCCCCTGGCTCCCTTCCGTGCTTCTCATTCCTTGAGTTTTTCCTTCTCAGGAAAGGCATGGGCTCACGAACTCCCCTGTGTTGTTTTGAGACACGTCTCACCACATAAACTGGGCTGCCTAATTTTCAGTGGTGGTCCTGTCCTCTGCCTGCCAGGTACTGAGATTACAGACAGGTGTCACTGCCCCCAGCTGCTTCTCCATCACCATCTCTGTGACAGAAATGGGCAGTCCCTGGGGTAGGACGGGGGAGGGAGAGGCTCTGGAAGATTCAAAGATTTGGGGGGAAGTTCCCAGGGAATAGAATGTCTCCCAAGCCTACCCACAAGCTCCAGGAGGTTCTGAGCTTGACAGTCCAGCAGTACAATGCCCTCGGCCAACAGACTTCGAAGCTTCTGGAGGCTGGGTAAGGCCAGGGTAGGCACATGGGGGGCACTCCACCGGCCTGCGCCTACTTCTAGCTTTTCTTCGAACAGCACCCACCTGTGACAGAGGGATAGACAGTGTTGTCAGGAGACTCTCCCATGTCTAGGACAGTAGAGGGCAGTGCGGCTGCCTTTGACCCAGTTGTGCAGAGCATCTCTCCCTGAGCAGTCTCCCTTCACTGGGTCTCAGAGAACTCAGAACCATATAGAGGAAGCTGAGTATCATGGAAAGAATACAAGGGACAAATCCTAATTTGAGGTGGGAAGGATGTTGTAGAACTAGCCAGGTCCTACTCACCTGCCTGTCTCCTTCCACTCCAGTGCGTGGGGCCAGCCCAACAGCTCATTTAGTTGAATGAAGAGCAGAGGGTCCTGGGATACCCCCGATTCCTCATTGTCTGTGTCTGAGGAACCACCAAGGCCGGGACCAGGGCCAAGGCCACTGTCTAGTTCCTCTGCAAGAACATTTTCATGAGCACTAGAATGTCCAAAGTCCTCTTGGCCTGGCAGCTTCATCTTGGAGAGGCTTGCACACAATCTTGGGAGCTGTGCTGTCCTGGGGCCTCTGGCTGGCTACATTTATACTGCACCGCTCACTACAGCTCAGCACAAGCAAAGCCAAGCCTGTTGATTCCAGAAAATACTGGTCATCTCCTCTACTTGTTCTGGGAGCACTGCTGGTCTAAGTGTCTGTAAGACTAATTAGCCATTCCCAGACCCTTCAGAAGTGCCCAACCTGTGTATGTGCATCACATCTGACCTCACTGTATTTTGTGTAAATAAATAGGAGTAACTGCTACCCAGCCCAGATTCTGTTGCCCCTGGCCATCCTGTATCAAATATTGACACCACAAATCCAGGACTGTTTGGGTGTCAACAGTATAGCATAGGGGCCACAGACACACATCTGGACAAAGAAGGAACTAATAAATAACTAGGCTTGTGGAAGCTAGGCAGGGCAAGGAAGATAGAAAGTAAAGGGCTCTTAAATGGGCTAACTTTGGAAAGTGGAGACAGGTCATGGAGAACACAATGCCTACATCTTAAATTCTTCTATCCAATGTCTGGAAACCCAGTTTAGTTATGTGCTCCTTTTAACTCAAACCCTCACTAAAGGTGGTAGAGATTGTGTGTGTGTGTGTGTGTGTGTGTGTGTGTGTGTGTGTGTGTGTGTGTACGAGTTTCTGGAGCCAAAGTTACAAAAAACATTGTGGTCCTTTATCAAATCCTATTGATTCTACCTTTCAAATGTACCCAGAATCCAACCACATTCCCCAACTCCAACACTACTACTCTGATCCAAGCCACTATCATTTCTCACTTGAATTATTTCAGTAGCCCACTAGACTTTTGCAATAACCTCTTTGGCTTTGGCTCTTCCTCACTTTCCAAAGTCCATCTTCCATACAGCAGCCATAAGGATTTTATTTGTTTGAGACAGGGTCTCACTATGTATCCCTGGCTGGCCTGGAATTTATTACAGAGACTGAATTGGTCTTGAACTCTCAGAGATCTGCCTACCTCTGCCCCCTGACTGCTGGGCTTAAAAGCATGTGCCACCACTCCTAGCTAAGGGTTCTTTTAAAAATATTTTTAGAGACTCCTTTAATCCCAGCACTCGGGGAAGGAGCCATCTCCGTGGGACGGAACCAGAACGGATCCGAACACTCTGTCTGAGGCCAACCCAGGGTCCATCTGCCGATCCTACGAAACCCAACAACTTGGAGGTGTTGGTGAGATTACCCTACTAAACAACCTGCTCAGCTGAGATCCATTCGGGAGAGGATTCAGAGTCCTACAGTCTGCAGTCTGAGGAAACAAGATCAGTTGAGGAGTTGACGAATGAGCAAAATGTGACCTGAGAACACAAAAGAAGGCGCCACCCAGCCACTGAACCAGATCACCAGAATCATAAGCCTACACTACACCTACCGGAAACAGGTAAGCCCCCATCTCCAGACCGGCAGATCAGGTCTCTAACCCCTAGGCCCTACCCATCAGAGTCCCAGGGACCAGACAGCTACCTTTCCCTGCTCACCCACCGAAGGAAAAAAAAAAAACCCTACAAACCTAACAACCACTGAAACCATAAGCACACCCTGCACCAACTAGGAACAACTGCTCCCACTAACACTGGGACTAAGCTGTCCCACTTAGTGAGACAGAACCCACTAACACTGATTGGACTAAGCTGCTCCTGAAGAAACAAAGCCCAACAGCACTGATTTAACCAAGAATTAACAATTAGAACAAGAGAGGCACCTTCAGACACAGATACCGCCTACACCAAGCAGAGGAAGAGATGAGTAGACGCCAGTGCAAAAATACAGGCAACAGCATAAAGACCTATATGACAACATCAGAACCTAGCGATTCTACACCTGCAAGACCTGAACATACCAAGGCAGAAGAAGCAGAAGAAATCAATCCTAAAAATGACTTTAAGAAGATGATAGAGGCCCTTAAAGAGGAAATGAAAAACTCCCTTAAAGAAATGGAAGAAAAGCCGGGCGGTGGTGGCGCACGCCTTTAATCCCAGCACTCGGGAGGCAGAGCCAGGCGGATCTCTGTGAGTTCGAGGCCAGCCTGGGCTACAGAGTGAGTTCCAGGAAAGGTGCAAAGCTACACAGAGAAACCCTGTCTCGAAAAACCAAAAAAAAAAAAAAAAAAAAAAAAAAAAGAAATGGAAGAAAAAAACAAACAAAAAATTGGAAGAAATCAAAGAAAGCCAAGAAAAAATAATTAAACAGATGAAGGAAACAATTCAAGATTTGAAAATTGAAATTGAGACAATAAAAAAACCACAAACTGAGGGAATGCTGGAAATAGAAATCCTGACTAAACGAACAGAAACTACAGCAGCAAGCATAACCAACCCAATGCAAGAGATGGAACAGAGAATCTCTGACACTGAAGATACAATAGAGAAAATAGATTCATTAGTCAGAGAAAACACTAAAGACAAAAAAGTCATAACATAAAATGTCCAAGAAGCCGGGCGGTGGTGGCACATGGCTTTAATCCCAGCACTCGGGAGGCAGAGGCAGGCGGATCTTTGTGAGTTAGAGGCCAGCCTGGTCTACAGAGCGAGATCCAGGAAAGGCACAAAGCTACACAGAGAAACCCTGTCTTGAAAAACCAAAAAAAAAAAAAAAAAAAAAAAAGTCCAAGAAATTTGGGACACCATGAAAAGATCAAACCTAAGAATAATAGGGATAGAAGAAGGAGAAGAATACCAACTCAAAGGCACAGAAAATATATTCAACAAAATCATAGAAGAAAACTTTCCTAACCTAAAGAAAGAAATACCTATGAAGATACAAGAAGCTTACAGAATACCCAATAGGCTGTATCCAAAAAAAAGTCCCCTCTCCACATAATAATCAAAACACTAAACATACAGAACAAAGAAAAAATATTAAGAGCTGCAAAGGAAAAAGACCAAGTAACATATAAAGGCATCAGAATAACATCAGACTTCTCAATAGAGACTATGAAAGCTAGAGGGTCCTGGACAAATGTTATGCAGACACTAAGAGACCATGGATGCCAACCCAGACTATTATACCCAGCAAAACTCTCAATCACCATAGACAGAGTAAATAAAATATTCCATGATAAAACCAGATTTAAACAATACCTATCCACAAATCCAACCCTACAGTAAGCACTAGAAGGAAAAATCCAACCTAAAGAAGCTAAACACATCCATGAAAACTCAGGCAATAGATAATCCCACACCAACAAATACCAAAGAAGGAAAACACAACACTACCACAAAAAAAAAAAAAAAGGAATTAACAATCACTGGTCATTAATATCCATCAATATCAATGGTCTCAACTCACCTATAAAAAGACACAGGCTAACAGAATGGATAAGAAAACAGGATCCATCCATCTGCTGCATACAAGAAACACACCTTAACTTCAAAGACAGACACTACCTCAGAGTAAAGGGCTGCGAAAAGGCTTTCCAAGCAAATGGACCTAAGAAACAAGCTGGTGTAGCTATCCTAATATCTAATAAAATAGACTTCAAACTAAAATCAGTCAAAAGAGATCAGGATGGACATTACATATTTATCACAGGAAAAATCCACCAAGATGAAGTCTCGATTCTGAACATTTATGCCCCAAATACAAAGGCACCCACATTCATAAAAGAAACATTACTAAAGCTTAAATCACACATCAAACCCCACACATTAGAAGTGGGAGATTTCAACACACTACTCTCACCAAAAGACAGATCTACCAGACTGAAACTTAACAAAGAAATAAAGGACCTAACAGATGTTATGACTCAAATGGACTTAATAGATATCTACAGAACACTCCATCCTAACACAAAAGAATATACCTTCTTCTCAGTACCCTATGGAACCTTCTCTAAAATTGACCACATGCTTGGTCACAAAGCAAATCTCAACAGATACGAAAACATTGGAATAACCTCCTGTATCTTATCGGACCACCATGCCTTAAAGTTAGAATTCAACAACAACAAAAATTATAGAAAGCCTACAATCTCACGGAAACTGAATAATGCCCACCTGAAACACCAATGGGTCAAGGAAGAAATAAAGAAAGAAATTAAAGATTTCCTAGAAGTCAATGAAAATGAAAGTACAACATACCGAAACTTATGGGACACTACGAAAGCAGTGCTAAGAGGAAAATTCATAGCTCTAAATGCACACATAAAGAAGATGGAGAAATCTCATACCAATGACTTAACAGCACAACTGAAAGTTCTAGAACAAAAAGAAACAAACTCACCCGGGAGAAACAGGCACCAGGAAATAATCAAATTGAGGGCTGAAATTAATGAAATAGAAACCAAGAGAACAATACAAAAAAATCAGTAAAACAAAGAGTTGGTTCTTTGAAAAATCAACAAGACAGACAAACCCCTAGCCAAATTAACCAAAAGGCAGAGAGAGAGCACCCAAATTAACAAAATCAGAAATGAAAAGGGAGACATAACAGACAACGAGGAAATCCAGAGAGTCATCAGGTCATACTTCAAAAACCTGTACTCCACAAAATTGGAAAATCTGGAAGAAATGGATAACTTTCTGAATAGATACCACATACAAAAGTTAAATCAAAACCAGATAAACTATCTAAATAGACCAATAACCCCTAAAGAAATAGAAACAGTCATCAAAAGTCTCCCAACCAAAAAAAAGCCTAGGACCAGAAGGTTTCAGTACAGATTCTACCTGATTTTCAAAGAAGAACTAATTCCAATACTCTTCAAATTGTTCCACACAATAGAAACAGAAGGAACATTACCAAACTCTTTTTTATGAGGCTACAAATACCCTGATACCCAAACCACACAATGATGCAACAAAGAAAGAGAATTACAGACCAATCTCCCTCATGTACATTGATGCAAAAATACTCAACAAAATACTGGCAAACCAAATCCAAGAACACATCAAAAAAATTATCCACCATGATCAAGTAGGTTTCATCCCAGAGATGCAAGGATGGTTAAACATACAAAAATCTGTCAATGTAATACACCATATAAACAAACTGAAAGAAAAAAAAACACATGATCATCTCATTAGATGCTGAAAAAGCCCTTGACAAAATCCACCACCTCTTCATGATAAAGAGATCAGGAATACAAGGAACATTCCTAAACATAATAAAGGCAATTTACAGCAAGCCAACAGCCAACATCAAAGTAAACGGAGAGAAACTCAAAGCGATTCCATTAAAATCAGGAACAAGACAAGGCTGTCCGCTCTCCCCATATTTATTCAATATAGTACTTGAAGTTCTATTCCACTAAAATCAGGAACAAGACAAGGCTGTCCGCTCTCCCCATATTTATTCGTTATAGTACTTGAAGTTCTAGCTAGAACAATAAGACAACAAAAGGAGATCAAAGGGATACAAATTGGACTTTCACTATCTGCAGATGATATGATAGTATACATAACTGACCCCAAAAATTCTACCAGGGAACTCCTACAACTGATAAACTCATTCAGTAAAGTGGCAGGATACAAGATCAACTCAAAAAAATCAGTAGCCCTCCTATACACAAATGATAAAAGGGCTGAGAAAGAAGTCACAAAAACATCACCCTTTACAATAGCCACAAATAATATAAAACACCTTGGAATAACACTAACTAAACAAGTGAAGGACCTTTTTGATAAGAAATTTAAATCTCTAAAGAAAGAAATTGAAGAAAATATCAGAAAAATGGAAGGATCTCCCATGCTCATGGATAGGTAGGATTAACATAGTAAAAATGGCAATCTTACCGAAAGCAATCTACAGATTCAATGCAATCTCCATCAAAATCCCAACACAATTCTTCACAGACTTGGAAAGAAAAATACTCAACTTCATATGGAAAAACAAAAGACCCAGGATAGCTAAAAGAATCCTATATAATAAAAATATGTTTAGGGCTAGAGAGATGGCTCAGTGATTAAGAGCATTTGCTGCTCTTCCAGAGGACCAGGTTTGATACAGCTCACAACAGTCTGTAACTCCAGTTCCATGGAATATGGCACCCCCTCTTCTGGCCTTCTCAGGCACAAGGCACACAGATGATG